CAAAAATATGAAATGAGCTCATCGAAGACTGACCGTTCTTTACAAGTGGCTTGCCATCTTGAGATGCAAGATCTCTGCAGATTTTGCTCTGGATTTAATAGTGGTTTCGCATTACCTTCCGAACTAAACAATTTAAATGATAAAAAAAGGTCTTATTTAAATACACTATTAGATTTAAGGCTTTAATTCAAAAGAGACCTTGCTGAGATCCCTTTGAAATTTATTTTGAAGCGCATTTACCTCGAGCACTTTGAAAAATATCCTGATCAAGAACTACCGATATAAATTTCTCGTTATTTTCATCATTTCCTTTAACTAGATGCCATATAGCGAGTCATATAAAATTGAGAGTTGTCATTCATCCCATTGTTTTCCATCCTGATACTTGATTACATTCGTTTTGCCTAACTATCCTGAAAAGGTCGACATTTTCGCCATGGTATTTTAATTTTGAAAGACGGAGTTCAGGCAATTTAATCTTTCATTTCTTTAACTGAAAAAACTGAAGTGTAACTTTCATTCAACTGTCGATATACGTCTCTCTCGTGCATATTTTCTCTCAAACTAAATTTTATTGGGTGTTGCAACGATTTCATATTCTTAGATTCACGAATTCATTTAATCAGACACGTGATCTGCGGTATTTGAGCATGTGTAATACATGGAACTCTGTAGTGCCATTTTGTTGCCTCTAACGATGTAATAGTTTTCACACAATGTTTCAGTTGACAACACTCGTATTACGCTTTCCTAAATTATTTAATTCATGAATTATGTGCTGGATTATTGTGACTTCATGATGAACGCGGTTCCTAGCATCCTTAGTAGTAACAACTGATATCAGCCATTCCATGTTATATATTTTCATGAAATATCTATATCCAACAACACTCCTGTTTTGAACATGCCTTCGGCCGAACTCACCGAATAGTTTGATTAATTTTGCCGACGGGGGAGAAGGCCGAAAACTCCAGCCAACGCTTAGACCAGTCAAAAGAAAATATCTTTCGTATATAGTTGTTAAAGTATAAGTTTTTAATCGCTGTTCATGTCTCCCACGAGGTAAATATTTCTGAGTTTAAAGTTTATCGTGACCTACAAAATTACAGTAACTTTATTGCTATAAGTGGTTGCAAACCTGCCGATTTTAAAATATCTAATCTACCATGTTGAACGTGATAGCGGCACTTCGAGTGTCTTTTATTGTACGGTCGTTATCATCGAAGAGCAAAAATGGCAGGTGAAAATGAAGAGAATGAGGAAATGGCGCTGCTGCTTGAAAGGCAGCACACGGAACGAAAGGAGTTTAAGGGTAAGATCGACTGTTTCCCCGCTTTCATCTGTGCGTTGCC